GCCAACATCCGGGTCCAGTAATGTTTCCCTCCCATATCCCTAGGGGCTGGACCGCTGCAAGACTTGTTCTTAACAATGCTTTTTCTCTCTTTCCTTTTTTGTTTTGGTCCTTCCCTCACTTCCTCCTTTTTAAGACAGTATTTCACTAGGTAGCCCTAACTGAACCAGAACTCATTATGTGGACCAGGCTGGCTTCAAATACACAGATTTTCCTGCCTCTGCCTCCCAAGGACTGGGATTTTTTAAGGTGTATGGGTGTCTGTCTGGTATCAAACAAACACATGGTGCACAGATATACATACAGGTAAAACACCCATACACAAGCATTTCTAAAAAGCCAAGTGGAGTGTGATGGTCCGCCTGCAACAGGAGGCAGAGAAATCCCCAGAGCAGACTGGTTAGCCAGACTAGCTGAAATGGTGAGTCCACCTAGAGACCCTGACTCAGCAAAGAATATGGAGAGTCATGGAGGGAGACACCCAACGCCGGCCTCAGAACCCCATACAGACGTGCATATGTGTGAAAACATTCATAATGCACGCATGCCGCATTCAGATGTAAAAATCAGTAAGAAAGAAACAACGTAATACAGTTCATTGAGAACAGGTTGGAGGGGCACAGAAGGACTTCTTGGTGCCAGGTGGAAGACACGTGACACACAGAACACCATTTTTTCTTTAATGGTATTAGGGATCAAATCCAGGGCCCCACACACTCAATCAGGTTTTCTTTCTTTCATTTTTTTTTTTTTTTTGTTTTGTTTTGTTTTTCGAGACAGGGTTTCTCTGTGTAGCTTTGCGCCTCTCCTGGAACTCACTTGGTAGCCCAGGCTGGCCTCGAACTCACAGAGATCCGCCTGTCTGCCTCCCGAGTGCTGGGGTCTTTCTTTTTTTTTTTTTTTTTTAACAATTTATTTTATGTGCATTATTGTTTTACCTGCATGTATGTCTGTGTGAGGGTGTCAGATCTTGGAGTTACAGACAGTTATTAGCTGCCATGTGGGTGCTGGGAATTGAACCCAGGTCCTCTGGTAGAGCAGTTGGTGCTCTTAACCACTGAGCCATCACTCCAGCCCCTCAATCAGGTTTCCTACCTCTGAGCTACTCCCTCAGCTAATGAGTGGAATTTTAGCAATGGTGTACAAATGATAGCCAGATTGGCACATGCCTGTAGTCCTAATACTCAAGAAACCAAAACAGGCAACACAGAATGTAAGGCTAGCCTGTGCTACATAGCGAGACCATGTCTCATACAAGAGAGAAAGACCGTACAGCTTAGTGGGAGGGTACCTGCGTGGGCAAAGCTCTGAGTTTGAACCCCAGTATCATGGGGGGGGGAATAATACCACATGGATCGGAGGCTGGAGAGATGGCTCAATGGCTAAGAGACTGTACTGTTCTTCCAGAGGACCTGAGTTCTGTTGAGTTCTATTGGGTTAGCCCACAGCCCCCTGGAACTCCAGCTCCAGGGGTCCCAATGCCTTCTTCTAGTCTGTAGAGGCACCTGCACTCATGTGCACAGACCCACACACAGGTACATGCACACACACACACACACGCACACACACACACACACACACAATTTATAAATAGTAGAAATACATCTTGAGGCAGAGGCAGATAGCGCTCTCTAAGTTTCAGGCCAGCCAGGGATACATGGTAAGACCCTGTGTCAAAAAAAAAAAAAGAAAAAAAGCAGGAATTAGACTCTAATTTGAATCTCTCTGGTTCCTTATTATCATATAGTATTGAGATATTATATAGTACGGAGTGAATCACAGTTTAAAGCAGAAGGCAGACCAGTAAGAGTATAATTTTCAGTTTTTTTGTTTGTTATTTCGTTTTGATGTGTATAGGTATTTTACCAGCTTGTGTGTCTGTGCACCATGTGCGTGCAGTGCCTTTAGAGGCCAGAAGAGGGCACTGGATCTCCTGGCATTGGAGCTACAGCACCCTGGTCCTCTAGAAGAACAGCTAGTCCCGCTAATTGTTGAGCTACCTCACCAGCCTGAGCTATCTCACCAGACTCCTAGACTTTGTTTGTTTGTTTTTTGTTTGTTTGAGACAGGGTCTCACTTTGTGGTCCTAGCTGGCCTGGAACTCTCTATATAAACCAGCCTGACCTCAAAATCACAAACACCCACCTGCTTGTGTCTCCTGAGTGCTGGAATTAAAGGTGTATACCACCATTGCCAGGAAAGAGGTTTTTAAAGATGGTTGCATTTATTTATGTAGGTATGTTTTGTGTGTGTGTGAACACGACTATGGGGACATGTGCCATGGTTCACATATACAATAAGAGGACAACTTGTGGGAGTCAGTTCTCTCCTACCGTGATAGAATTCAGATTGTCAGCCTTGGCAGGGAGCACTTTTATGCTCTGAGCCATATCACTGGCCTACAAGTATCGTTTAGAAAGAGTCTCCTGTAATGGGGCTGGAGAGATGGCTTAGTGGTTAAGAGCATTTGCAGATGGGATTTGGTTACCAGCATCCACATTGGGTGGCTGGCAACCATCCCCTAGTTCCAGTTTCCAAGTGTCGGGCGCCCCGCCCCCTTCTGGCCTCTGAGAGCACCAGACACAAGTGGAAGGCACTTAAATACATGCAAGCCAAATATTAATACACATAAAATAAAAATAAACCTTTCCCTCTCCCTCTGAAATGCCCTCCATCAGCTCCTTTTTGTCATCATGTCCCGAGTCTGTAAATCGCTCTGTAGATAAGGCTGGCCTCTTATCTTTACTTACAAGGATCCTCCTGCCTCTGCCTCTGCCTCTGGAATGCTGAGATCAAAGATGTGCAACACCACAGCCTGTTTGACCTCTTGACATTCCTGCCTTGGCCTTTCAAACAATGATCTCCCAGTTTTTGTTTGGCTTTGCTCTTTTGTTTGAACGTGGCGAAGGATTTTGGGTATTGAACTTAGAGCCTTGGACATGCTAGGCATTACTTTACCTCAATCTTTTTCTGCTCTTTATTTTGAGACAGGGTCTCACTGCTAAACTTGAATTTGGGATTCTTCTACCTCAGCATCCTGTGAAGTATCTGGGATTACAGAGCTTCACCATCATGTACACACACACACACACACACACACACACACACACACACACACACACTACAACCTCAGTTGGAAAATGTAATGTGATGTCCAGAAGGAACAGCCCAAAATCCTAAGGTCCACTCTTACATATAACTAGATACGCCGGGAGTACTAAAATTCTGTGATGAAACTTTATTTCACATAACAAAGACATGAGAATTCTAAGTGTGTGGATGAATAATTTCTTCCTTCTGTCATTCATAAAAATGGAAGAGAGGGGAAAAGAATCCCAAAGCAGTAGGTGTCCATCTGCCAGGCTATATTAAACCAAGAAGAGACTTTTCATTTCAAATTAGTTTCTTAGTATCCTTGGCACTTTCTCTTTGTGAAATATTTACAGAAAATATACATTTAAAAAGGGGGGAATTAAAACAGAAAAAGAAATTCAAGCAAAATCCGGCAGCCTCTATCCTCGCTTTTGCACAAGATGGTCTATCATGTCTTATCCTTTCCGTAAAAAAAAATAAAAATAAAAATAAAAGGAAGCCATGCCTCGTGATGCAGGCCTTTAATTCCACCTGCCAGGAAGGTCAAAGGTTCAAAGCCTGTAGGGTGACAAAGTAAGCTCAAGGCCTCACCAACTTAGTGAAAAATCTATCTCCAAATAAAAGACGAGGACTGCCAAGATGGCTTCCTAGGTCAAAGTGCTTGCTGTGGGAGCCCAGCCTAAGGATCTGAGTTCAATTCCCGGAGCCCCTGGAGAACTGACTCCTGAAAGTCATCTCTCAACCTCCACACATGGACCTTGGCACTTGCATGCCTGTGTGTAAGAGCATGCACGTTCACACACACACACACACACACACACACACACACACATCAAAAAGACACAAATAATGAAATTTTAAAAATCAAATATTCCAATCAGTGGTGGCACACACCTTTAATCCCAGCACTTAGAGGCAGAGGCAGGTGGATCTCTGTGAATTTGAGGCCAGCCTGGTCTACAGAGCAAGATCCAGGACAGTCAGCACTACACGGAGAAACCCTGTCTTGAAAAACAGAAAACAACAACAAAAACTTTAAATACATTTAAAAAGCACTAGGAGATATATATATATATATATAAAATATATATATATATATATATTATATATATATAGCTCGGTGGTACAACATTGGCCAAGCACGCACAAGGACCTGGGTTCAATCCCAAAAGCCACTAAAAAGGGGTGGGAGTAGCACAGGTTTGTGTTCTCAGCCCTCAGGAAGAAACTGAACCAGGAATATTATGAGTTCAAGTCCACTCTAGACTATGTAAGCTAGTTCCAGAATTAAGACACTTAAGGCGCTGGAAGGATGGCCCACCTGCTATGATGCATACCACTCTGGCGGAACGCAGGAGTCTGGTCACCAGCACCCAGATTAGTAGGCTCACCTATCTACAACTACAGCGCCAAGAAGATATTGGATGCCTCTGGGCTCCCCAGTAACCTGCACTCACATTAAAACAAACAAACAAACAAAAACCCCTCATAGACTCACAGGCATACACACACACACACACACACACACACACACACACACACACACACACACACACACATCTTTTGATCACGTAATCTTGGTCTTTTAACTACAACATGCCTCCCATTTCAGCCAGATTCTGCACCAGAAAAACCCGAGTTGCAGGACTTGGTAGAGCACTCTATCACTCGGGATGCAGAGGTACTGGTTGGCAGGATGTAAATAAAGCCACTGAAACACAACTATGGTCTCACACCGAGCTCTCCTCAATTCCTGGTGGATTCTAAATTCTGTTAGGGAACACAGGAAAGGCTTTCACGTTTTCAAACCCTTACACCAAACATGACGCCTTCGCGACAGGCGTTTTTTCGGGCGCGTTCCACTAATTCTGACTCCTGCCGGCAGCCGTCCCCCGTCTGGTGACGCAACCCGACGTGCTCTCCGCCCGCGGTCGCCGGGAAATCAAGATGGCGGCCCCCAGGAGCTGCGGTCTCTGGCGCTACTGCTGCCGCGGGTGGTTGCGGGCGGCGGGCGGCTGCAGGCTGCCCGGGTTTCATCGATCCTGGCCCGGAGCCACGCTGAGTGCGCGGTCCTTGTCCCAGGAGAAGCGGGCCGCGGAGACGCACTTCGGGTTCGAGACTGTGTCGGAGGAGGAGAAAGGCGGCCGAGGTGACCGACCGGGCCAGAGGGCGGATGGACGGACCTGTCTGTCACCGAGTCGGGTTCCTTTACCCGCCTGAGGGTGGATCTAATGCCCCGTTAGCCCTGGGGATGTTAGTCCTTACATTCATTCCTGCAGTCCTGACTTCCGAGGAGTACCCACCTCCCAGACTCAACTTCCCACACTCTTCGAGTCTTGACTGGGGACGCAGGCATTCGCGACGCTACACCTTGCCACACGCCCTCTTTCTTCTTTTTCTTTTGACTCCCTATGTCTCTCCTTGATTGTCCTCGAGCTTGATGTGTGGACCAGGCTGGCCTCGAACTCACAGAGACGCACCTGCCTCTGCCTCTTGAAGGCTGGGATGAAAGGCGTGCGCCACCGCAGCATCCTTAACTCTCACCGACTTCGAGGTTGCCCTCCGCCAGGCGCCGTGTAGACGTTCTCAACCCCCACGCCCCACCCCCCACTTCTCACTTCAGTTTCCCATGAGTGACTGTTGTTAATCCCTCACTTGGGGAACAGAGTTGAGGTTAAGCAAGAACTTGCACGATTTAAAGTGGTAGTCAGGGGCTGGGAGTGTCGCTCAGTGGGTACGGTGCTTCTTGCCTCTCACTCCCTAGGCTCAGTTGTGTGTGGTGGTGTGCACTGGGGATCCCAGCACTTGGGAGGTGGATGCAGGAGGATTAGAAGTTCAAGGTAGTTCTCTACTATACCTGGAATTTGAAGCCAGCTTCAGATAGTGAGAGCTTGTCTCTACAGAGACAGATATAAAATTGCTAATAAGTGGGAGAACTACCACTCTAACACAGTTTCTTACTAAGGAATGGCACCATTCCCTCCCCTTTAAAAAACACACACACAGCCAGCACTTGGGAGGCAGAGCCAGGTGAATCTCTGTGAGTTCGAGGCCAGCCTGGTCTGCAGAGCGAGATCCAGGAAAGGCACCAAAACTACACAGAGAAACCCTGTCTCGAAAACAAACAAACAAACAAACAAAAAAAAAAAAACGAAAACAAAACCAAAAAGTTACCAGGAGCAATTTGAACACTGTTCCCTTGTCATAAAGCTTACAGTAGGGGTTAAGTGTGTTTCCTATGACTTGGCAAATTGCCATTAACCCCATGCTAAGCTTTTTGTTAGGGGATGGAGAGGTGGCTTGGTCAGCTTCTAGCTCTTGTGCTTTCAACATCATGAAATATCTCTAAGAACCCCTTTATGGAAGTTATGAAAAACTCTATCACATTTGATTGTGTGTGTGCATGTCTGTGGGCTCGGTGGAGGTCAGAGGACAACTTGCAGGAGTCAGTTCTCTCCTTTGCCATATGGGTCCTGGGGCTCAACCTCACATCTTCAGGCTTGGAGGCAGGTGCTCCACCCACTGAGCCACCTCCCTGGCCCCGTGATTTTATTTCCTGCTGCTTCTGCTCTGACACATCTGAACCTGGTTGGCCTCACCTAGGTTACGAAGTTTGCCCTCACAAGCTCCCTGTGCTGTGTGTCTGGAGGCTCTTGGGCCCCAGCAGCGTGTGCCCACACAGTCACCTCTTATGCTTGCAACTGCACTGCATGCTTGCATTCTCACTCCGCTCCCCTCACTGTCCCTTTCCACTTGTGCGATGCACTCTTCTGTATCTGAAAGTTTTTCTGTGTCCTGCCTGGCCTGCAGTCAGGACAAATCTCTCTCATCCGCCGGTCCTGCCACTGCTCCAACCCAAATAAACACACACAGGCTAATATTTTTTTTTTTTCCCCAGAGCTGAGGACCGAACCCAGGGCCTTGCGCTTGCTAGGCAAGCACTCTACCACTGAGCTAAATCCTCAGCTCCAAATATTATTTTAAAACTATGGCCATGGCAGGCTTCTTGTTATCTAGTTCTTATATCTGAAATTAACCTATTTCTATTTATCTGTAAGTTGCCACATGGCCGTGGCTTACCGGTCTGCTGGCATGTTGTTGCTTTGGTGGCAGCTGGCGCCTGCTTTTTCCTCTCCTTTCTCTTCCTATCTGTTTGGATTCCCCACCTGCCTCTAAGCTGCCTTGCCGTAGGCCCAATGGCTTTATTTACCACCCAGGCAGAGCAGCATGTTTTCACAGCATACAGAAGGACATTCCCCCATCATTCTTCCTTGTTGCTATTGTTGTTTGCTTTTTGTGTTTTGCAGTGCTGGGATTAAATTCAGGGCTTTAGTCCTGCTCACTGATCTGAACCTCATTCCTCTGGTCTTTTCGTTTCTGTTGCTCAATTTCCTCCTTCATTGAGCTAAGCATGCCATATTGGTTTGTCACCGAGAGACCAGGAAACAGCAGAACTATTATGCTCTGACATGAATGAGTGTAAACTGATTAACCCATCCATGATGACACACATCAGCCTGCAGTCTATAAAGTAGATGACATAACTGGTCACTGATTATTACATACACCTCTTATTTTCATCATGAGTCATGAAATGAAAACTCCGTGAAGCTTGTGTTTCACGCGCATACTCACAGTTAACCCAACACCCTGTTTGAACGGTGATGTTGGACATTAGGAAAGAGGTTGGCTTCTCCTGTACACCTTTAAGCATTTGATGCAGGGTGGTGTTGGGGTCTGGAGAAGTCACTCAGTAATAGGGTCCTACCTGTCATGTGCAAGGCCCTGGATTCCATCCCCAGCACCACGAGAGGGGAAACATAATGTTAAGGTGCATCTCAGGTATCAAGCATTGTGGCGTAGCATCTCCTTGCAAAGACAGGCACTTTCAAGAGGGAAAGCCTCCCTTTGTCTTTTTCATTTAGATTTTCCCCATATTAATCCTGTTGATAACAGTGTGTCTGTCCCACCCCAGTCTACCAGGTGTTTGAGAGTGTAGCCAAGAAGTATGATGTGATGAATGACATGATGAGTCTCGGCATCCATCGTGCTTGGAAAGATTTGCTGATCAAGAAAATGCACCCATTGCCTGGGACCCAACTGCTTGATGTGGCTGGAGGCACAGGTAACGCCCTATTTGGTGTCCTTGGGGAAGGCTGAGTGTTAGACCTGTCTGCTGTAGGAGTGGGCTGCCTCTTGGGCTGACGGTGGTGACCGAAGGATCAGTGTGCAGCTAACTTCTGAGAAAGGGCAAGCATGTCGGTCCAGAGCAGCTTTGTGCCTGGCGCTTTTCTAAGGCCCTCCTGCTTCTGCCTCCCAAGTGCTGGGATCACATCCCCAGGGCAGCATGCCCAGCCCGTGGGCAGCATGCCCAGCTTGTTTTTTGCTTAGGTTTTCCTCCTCAATGCTCAGAACCCAGGGCGTAGTTAAGTGCTGTGTCACGGAGCTTTTCCCCAGCCCGTTTTATCTTCTGTTTGGCCTTTAATCCACTCTCCTTCTGTTTGGAGAGAAGCCTTTTCTCACATTACACAAGCTGTTTAGGACACAAGCTTTTCAGGCTGCCTTCCTCCGTACCCACTTGCACATCAGACATCAAAGCATACTGTGGCCTTTGTTTCTTGTTGCACACTGAGCACCTGGGGAGAAAAGTGCCAAGAAAGTGTACATCAGAAAGCCTTTAATCTCAGCATTTGGGAGGCTGAGGCAGGAGGAGCCAAGTAGATTCAAAGCCAGCCTGGATTCCATAGTGCATGCGAGGCCAGTCTGGGCTACAGATCAAGACCCTGTCTCAAAAACCAAACAAATAGGGGCTGGAGAAGTGACTCAGTGCTTTAGAGTACATACAACTCATACTACTTTTGCAAGTCTTTGCTTTTTTTGTTTGTTTGTTTTGTTTTTTAGAGACAGGGTCTTACTATGTTGCCATGGCTGACCTGTAACTTGCTATATAGATCAGGCAGGCCTTTTAACACAAAGATCATCCACGTGCCTCCCAAGTAGTGGCATGTGCTGCTGTGAGTGGCTTTTTTTTTTGAGACGGGTCTCATGTACCACGGGTCTCATGTACCACAGGCTGACTTCAAACTCATTACATGGCTGTGGCTGCCTTGATCCTCTTTCCTCCACCTCCCAAGTGCTGGGACTGCAGGCATGCACCACCACGCTTGGTGTATTTGGTGTATGCCATGCTAGGCATGGAGCCCCTTGATTTGTGTGTGCTAGGCAAGCACTCTCCCAACTGAGCCACACCAGTAGCCCTTAACCTTAAAACTATTTTAAGTACCAGTTGTGTGGTGTACACATGTAATCCCAGTACTCAGGAAGTAGAGGCAGGGGGACCAGGAGGTCAGAATCATCCTTAGCTACTTAGTGAGCTCATGGCCAGACTGGGCTACACGAAACAGTGTCACAAAAGAAATGAAGGAGGGGAGGGGAGGAAGAAAGGGGGGAAAGAAGGAAGGAGAAGGGTTTAGTTTAACTCAGGAATGGTCGCATGCATCTATAATCCCAGCCCAGGAGACCATAGGTGGAGGATCAGGAGTTGAAGGCCAGCCTAGACAGTATAGACACGTCCTTTTGGGGGTGGAGTGGGAACCGGTTTCTACTGAAAGGAGCAGAAGCATCCTTCCGCGACCACACCCCTCTCTGCATCCGCTCTTGGGGCTGGGGGTACTGACTGGCTGGTTTCATTTGTATCTTTCCTTCTCTTGACTTCCCGCAGGCGACATTGCATTCCGGTTCCTTCGGTGTGTTCAGGCTCAGCATCAGAGGAAACGGAAGAGGCAGTTAAGGGCTCAGCAAAATTTATCCTGGGAAGAAATTGCCAAAAAGTACCAGAATGAAGAGGATCCCTTGGGTGGTTCGCTTGTCACAGTCTGTGACATCAACAGGGAGATGCTAAAGGTTGGACAGCAGAAAGCCCTGGACCAAGGACACACGGCGGGTGAGTCCCTCAGCAGACCCCGGCATTGTTTGCACGTTTACAGAGGAAGGTGATGCACGCGATGTTCCAGTCAGCGGGAGCTGAAGGTGGCTTATGTGGCTGAGCACAGCTCAGAGGTGGTGTTGCTCCAGAATCGGAGTCGCAGACTAAGCTTGATGAGCAGTGGCCCAAAGTGCTTAAGGATCTTCTTTTTTTGTTGTAATTTTTTTTAAATTGGTACAGTCTTTAAATCGCACATATATCTCTGCAGCATATGGGTGCCTGGTACCTACAGAGAGCAGAAGAGGGCATCAGATCTAGAACTGGAGTTATAGATGGTCGTAAACCAGCTGGGTGCTGGGACTCAAACCCAGGTCCTCTGGAGGAGCTGCCAGTGCTCTTAACTGCTGAGCCATCTCCCAGCCATTGTTACCTTTTAAAATTAGGGTTTTTATTTAATCAGGGCTAGGGGGTACTATGCTGGTGCCATAGCACTCCTGTGGAGGTCAGAAGACAATTTGTGGGGGTTGGTTCTCTCCTTCCACCATGGAATCTTGGGAATTGAACTCATGTCACTGGGTCTGGCAGCAAGCCCCTTTACCCACTGAGCCATCTCACTGGCCCTAGAAGTCTCCTTCAAGTTGTTGGTTTTGTTGTTTTGTTTTGAGACAGGGTCTTAACTATGTATAGTCTTGGCTAGCCTGGAACTAACTCTAGACCAGGCTGGCCTTGAATTCATAGCAGGAGCTTCTTAAGTCACACAATTTTTCTCTCTCTTTAAATGCCTTTTTCAGCACTGGAAATTGAAGCCAGGTTCTTGCACATGCTCACTACGCTGCCACTGATTTTACCTCTGGCCACTGAATGTTTCAAAACACTTGCCCTAGCCAAGCATGGTGGTACATACTTTTAATCCCAGAACTTGGAAGGCAGAACCAGGTAGATCTTTGTGAGAACTCTATATAGTGAGTCCCCAGCCAGTCCAGGCCACATAGTGAAACCGTCTCAAACAACAACAACAACAAAAGTTTACCCTGAATATTGCACGTTCACTGGTGACCCTGCATGTTGCACCCTCTTGACAGCTTGCCCGACCGCTGGACTGCCCTCTTCCACACCGCCCAGGCAGTACAGGCGGCCAGAGAGACAAGGGCCTATCACAAAAAGTCCTCTGTCAACACTCTGGGCAGTGTCAGCATTTCTCTGCTTCCCTTGCCCACTATGAATGTCTGGTTATTTTAGGCCAATTATTCTCCTCCTCCTCACACACCAGGAAGGAGCTGCCTAGACGAACTGCAGCCCACTTGGCCTTGACGATGAAGGACTCCTTTGTTAGCTGTCCACACTCGTCAGAAGGCAGACTAGACAAAGGCACTGCGTGTCTTCCTCCTGCGGACAGATGTATTTCCCTTGTCTGGTGCTTGGCCGTAAAGAATGGAGAACAGTGAGACGATGGGCAATGTAGTGTGGCTATGGACCTGTCTAGGAACCCGTTGTTGTTTGAGACGAGATGTCACATTACCCAGGCTAGCAGTCAGGGCTGGCCTTGAGCCCCTGGTGGTCCTACTGCTACCTGCCTGATTATGCAATGAAAACACAGCCACTTCCAGCCTTTAAGCCAGGGACTGGAGAGGTGGCTCAGCCCCTGAGAGAGCGGGTTGTTCTTGCAGTGGGTTCCCAGCATCCAAACGGCAGCTTACAACTGGTAAAACCCTAGTTCCAGGGGCTCCAGCACCCTCTTCTGACCTCTGTGGGCTCTTGTACATATGTGGTGCGCTTACACACACTCAGGTACACTCACACACATATACACAAAAACAAACAAACAACAACAAAACCCTTTGAGCTAGATGATTGGAATCTGTCCTTTGCTAACATTATTCCACATGTAGCCAATTAGACATAAACTCTAAAAAGGTTTCCAATCTGAGTGGTGGTGCACGCCTTTAATCCCAGCACTTGGGAGGCAGAGGCAGCCGGATCTCTGTGAGTTCGAGGCCAGCCTGGACTACAGAGCGAGTTCCAGGACAGCCAGGGCTACACAGAGAAACTCTGTCTTGAAACCTCCTCCCCGCAAAAAAAGGTTTGAATGACCAAGAGGTTGGATTTATAAAGAGATAAAGACTAGAGAAAGCAGACGGGAGAATCAAAAGCCGATTGGCTGTTTCAGGGTTGCCTTCTCTGTAGATGAGTCTAGAAGAGCAGTGAGTGGTTAACAGCAGAACGTTCCCAGCTGTCCCTTCCTTCTTGTAGGGTTAAAGTTGGAGGAGCTGTGCTAGTCCTCAGGTCTCACAGTGGGTCATTTTCCATGTGGATGTAGGAACTTGAGCACGAGAATTTCATTGTGAGTTTCAGTCTGGTCTATTGGACCTAGCATAGGAGCATAGTCCAAAATAGTAGCTTCCCGTGAAGTTTATTTGACAGTGTTGGGTTTTTTTTACATTAATTCACGTATTTTGTGTGCTTATACGTGTGTGCACAAGTGTGTTTTTGTGTGCCTGTATGTGTGTATACACAAGTGTGTTTTTGTGTGCCTGTATGTGTGTGTGCACAAGTGTGTTTTTGTGTGCCTGTATGTGTGTATGCACAAGTGTGTTTTTGTGTGCCTGTATGTGTGTGTGCACAAGTGTGTTTTTGTGTGCCTGTATGTGTGTGTGCACAAACGTGTTTTGTGGAAGTCAAAGAACAGTGTGGAGAAGTGATTGTTTCCAAGAATCAGACTCCGGTGTCAGTCTTGGTGACAGTACCTTTTCCACAGAGCTGCCTTGCTGGTCTTTAATGAATTATGTTAGATCCAAATCAATGTCCTTCAGAACATGGCTACCCTCATGAGTTCTGAACTTAAAGTCAGGCCAATGATTCAGTCCTGCAATCCCAGTTGTTTGGGAATCTGAGGCAAGAGAATCAAAAATTCCAGGCCAGCCTGGGCCTGAGTGAGTTCATTCCTGCTTAGGCTTGGGCAGTTTAGTTAAATTCATCCCAAAATGAAAAGTTAAAAGAAAGCTGGAGCCGGGCGGTTGTGGCAGGTGGGTCTTTGTGATTTCGAGGCCAGCCTAGTCCATGTAGTGAGTTCCAGGACAGCCAGGGCTCCTCAGAGAAGCCCTGTCTTGAAAACCATTAAAAAATGAACGAATAGCCGGGCGGTGGTGGCGCACGCCTTTAATCCCAGCACTCGGGAGGCAGAGCCAGGCGGATCTCTGTGAGTTCGAGGCCAGCCTGGGCTACCAAGTGAGTTCCAGGACAGGCGCAAAGCTACACAGAGAAACCCTGTCTTGAAAAAAAACCAAAAAAAAAAAAAATGAACGAATAAGTAAAACCTTAAGACCTTTGCTCTTCACCACAGTGCTACCTATGAAGCACCTGGCTGCAAAACAATTGCTTTAGGGTAAACGTGGTAGCTCAGGGCAGCATTCGCCCAGCACAACAGAGTGCCCGGGCTGTGATTGATCTCAGCCCTGAAACAGAGAGATGCTAGCTGTGGCTGTCCCCAGTGAAGGCAGCTATGTGACGTCTTCTGACACCAAATCTGGAGGCCCCACGCACCAAATGTAGCAGGCTTCCTTGGACCTCCAGCCCCCAGATCAAGACACGGAGACTTCTTATCAATTCTGAGTGCTCGGCCTTATCTTATGCTTGTCCCACTGGTTCTTATAACTTAGTTTAACCTGTTTTTCTTCATCTGTGTTTTGCCTCAGGGCTTTTACCTGTCTTTGATTCTGTATGTCCTGCTCTGTGCCTGGCTGCCTGGCTGCCCTGGGCGTCTCCCTCTCTTCCTCCCTTGTTTTTTCTCTTCTCTTCTCCCTCCCATGTGTTTTTTTTGCCCGCCAGTCCCACCTATCGCTCTCCTGCCTAGCTATTGGCCATTCAGCTTTTTATAGACCAATCAGGAGCCTTAGGTAGGCAAAGCAACACATCTTTACATCATTAAATAAATGCAGCATAAACAAATGCAACACACCTTCACACAGTTCTCGAATTCTCTCACTTCAGTTCTGACATTTCCCAGACTTTGTATCATGGGCTCTATGCCACTGAACCGCCACCACCTTCACAAGCCACACACATTGATGCCTAGGGTACTCACTCTCTTACTTGGCTTACTACAGAATCCTCAGATTCACTACTTCTCCGTGCATGGGAAACAGCTACCTAGACTTATACCCAGAACTGGTTTTGTCTTCCAGGACTTGCATGGGTATTGGGAGATGCTGAAGAACTGCCCTTTGATGATGACAAATTTGATGTGTACACCATTGCTTTTGGGATCCGGAATGTCACACACATTGACCGGGTATGATTACCTGCATGCTCAGGATACATGTGACTTTCAGGATAGCAGTTCCCCTGGAGTGGACCTACCCCAAGTGAGGACAGGAAAGATCCTTTTCTAGGCCTAGTACTTAAGAGGAGTGACTATTTAAGCTTAGAGTTTTCTTCTTCCTCTTCCTCCTCCTCCTTAATGTATTTATTTGTGTGTGTGTGTGTGTGTGTGTGTGTGTGTGTGTGTGTGTGTGTGGTATGTCTGGAATATTATTATGGTCCAGGGGCCCAGAAGAGAAGCTACAATGGCGCAAATTATTTTTGGGAAAAGAATCTAAGTACATCGAGGTCTTTGTCCATCTACTTTATTCCTCTAGGATGAAATCCTATCTACACAACCTCAGTTCTGTTCTCATGCCTAGCTCCTATCTTGCCTCCTCTCTACCTTTATCTGCTGTCCCCTCTAAGTGCTATCTTAATTCTCTTATCTTAGTTCTGCCCCATCTTGTCTTTCTCATCTCATTCTTCCCCATCTGGCTCTTCCTCATCTTTCATTTCATTCTTCTAGTTCTCCAGTTAAAATCCTCTCTCAGTCCCTGAGGTTTACAGTTGTGTACCCATGCAATAGCAGTGCTCTAGCCAAAGCAAGGTCACCAGGCTTGAATTCTTACAGGGTCATAAAGGCAGACAAGAGTTTTCCTCAGGCAGTGACTGTCAGGCTTTCTTTTACAACCCAAAAGGGGAGTGGTAAAGGAGGAGGTCAACTAAGAGCTAAAATTGGTTAATGTATCAGAAAAAGGGAATTTATGTGCTGAAGCCATCTCTCCAGCCCCAGGACTTTCTTCTAAGTTGCCATAAAATTTAGCCTGAACCAACCACAGGCCAGCTCATGGTTGCTCAGGTTGGCACTTACATTCTCTTCGTGGTTGGACCTGCTGTGGCATTTCCTGTTTCCTCTTGTGAAGCTGTGTGTGTGTTTGCAGGTCAGAAGCGTGGTCAGATATAGAAAGGGGCACTTGGATGCTGTACGGGCAGAAGGGAACATGGTTCCTGTACAGCAGGAAGAGAATGTTCATTTCTCAGTAGGATTCAGCTCTTCACTTCTTCCTGAGCACTCTGTCAGACATTTAAAAACCATATGCAAGGAACTGGCTTCCTTTCTGGGATGTGGGCCCTGTTGTCTGACTCCTCTACTTCTGGGTGAGACTTCGTAGCGATTGCTCTGGTTTGAATATAGTACTCTCCGAGAGACCTGAGGGTGGCGCTGTTGAGAGGTGCTGAGGACCTTTAGGTGGGGCCTTGTGGGAACCCCATAGGTCAGTTGAGTGTGTGCATGCCTCCTGGCGGTGTGGGGGCCTTGACCCGTCTAGCGTTTCTCTACACCTTCTCCCTTCCCTCCTCTTCTCTCCCTGTCCTGTTATTTTTGTTTTTTCTCTCTCTCCCTCTCTCTGTATCATTACTTGGAAACCATGATCAGAAGTGCAGGATAAAAGCACTTGCTACCAAACCTAACACACTGAGTTCAATCCCCAGGAAATACGTGGCAGAAGACAGAATCAACTCCTGCAAGTTGTTCTCTGCTGTCCACATGCATGTTCATGTGTGCACACACACTGTATGTATAGCTGTAGGTATAGACATATATAGATATGTATACACACACACACATGTATGTGTGTGTAGGCTTTGTTTGTTTGTTTGTTTGGACAAGGTTTCCATATGTAGTCCTGGCGTAGAACTTAATATCTATGACTGACTCTGTAGACCAGGCTGTACTCAAATTCAGAGATTCACCTGCCTCTGCCTCCCAAGTGCTGGGATTAAAGGTGTGCAGCACCACACTCAGCTATATTTTTTTAATTGGAAAAAAAAAAAAAACACTTTGTAGGCAGGTGTGATAGCATATGGCTATATTTGCAATACTCTGTAAAGGCAGGAGGATTGCTTTAAGTTTGAGGCCTCTTCTACATAGCGAATTCCAGGCCATCAAGACCCATGTAACAATATCCTGTCTTGAAAAAACAAAAATCCTCATTTTGAAGAAGGGTCTCCCTCTGAAGGCCAGGCTGACCTAGAACTCCCTCTGTAGCCCAGGCTGACCTAGAACTCCCTCTGTAGCCCAGGCTGACCTAGAACTCCCTCTGTAGCCCAGGCTGACCTAGAACTCCCTCTGTAGCCCAGGCTGACCTAGAACTCCCTCTGTAGCCCAGGCTGACCTAGAACCCACTATGTAGCCCAGGCTGACCTAGAACTCCCTCTGTAGCCCAGGCTGACTTAGAACTCACTATGTAGCCCAGGCTGTCTTTGAACTTGCAGCAATCTTGCTTCAGTTTCCCAAATGCTAGAATTACAGACATGAGCTACACATCCAGCTTTAAAACAAACAAACAAACAAACAAACAAACAAACAAAAAGACCCTCTCTAAAGAGACAAATTAATCCTGTAAACAATTACTTTGCTACTGTAGGGGACATTTTTCTGTCTCTCCCACATTCTGCACTGTTTCTGACACCAGTCATGTGGGGTTTTCCCATGCCACATAATCCTCTGCAAATAGCCACTGAGTGCCCTCCAATTTAATTCTGATACTAGCTGCTTGGACTGCCACAGATTCCTCCAGGCTAAGGGCTCAGTCCACTAAAGTGCCCTCCAGTTCAGATAGAAATTTCTCACTGGCTGCAGACCAGAGGTCTTTGCAACCTCTTTGTGGGTTTGATCATTTGCTAGAGTGTGGTTCTCTAAGCCGGCCATGTTGGCATATGCAGCAGTCACAGGACCTGGGAGGCTGGAGCAGAGGTCTCAAGTTCCAGGCCAGTCTTGGCTGTAGAGATAGAGCCTGTCTTTGTTGTTTTTGTTTTCTGTGGGTTTGTCTTGTTTGCTTGTTTTGGAGAAAAGGTCTCACTTTGTTACCCTGGCTGGCCTCAAACTCACTATGTAGATCACCTACTTCTGGTTGCAGAGTGGTAGGATTAAAGGCATGTCTCTCCTGGCCTGATAGAACCTATTTACAATAACCAAGGCCAGGTATGTGGTTCTTGTATGAGACCTTGTCTCAAAAACAAAAGAAGAACAGTCTTTCTTTGTTGCTTCTTGGCTTGGAGGCGATCTGCCATGTAGACCTATCCTGTGCATCTTCCCAGGTGCCCCCATCCCAGCCTGGAACCTACCAGACTGTAAGCTAAACAACCCTTCCCTACATATTCTGCAGTTTGTTGTGGTGCTAGGCAGCCTGCACCCGCTCTGTAGCTTGGTTTTTATGGCCATCCTGCAGCTATAAAAGGTTTATTATTTGCTCTGATTGAAACATGTTTTTGCCAGTTGTGGCTCCTGCCTGTGATCCAGCACTCAGGAGGCAGGAGAGGCATCATTACAAGTTCAAGGCCACAGGAGTCTATGTGATGAGTTCTTGTCCTATAGCCAGGCACAGCAAATGTATCTCACAAAAACAAAAAAGGAAGATTCAAATGAAATACTTTTGAATAGGATCAAAGTTGATTTTGTCAGTGAGAACCTCCTGCCCACACTAATCTCCCAGCCTTTCGGTGCCTCTTCTCCCACACAGTCCTTGTGTATATTCCTTGTGTATATTTGTAAAGATGTTTTGTGCCTTTTAAGTGCGTCTGTTACAGTCAGGTGTGGTTTCATATGCCCGTAACCCCAGTGCTTAGCGGGGGTTGAGGAGATGGCTCACCCAGTAAAGTGCTCACTACACAAGCAGGAGGAGCTGGCGGTGGTGGTGCACTCTTTAATCCCAGCCCTCAGGAGGCAGAGGCAAGCGGAGCTCTGAGTTTGAAGCCAGCCTGGTCTACAGAGAAAGTTCCAGGGAAAAGGCCAGATGTGTACTGGGGTTGCAGCTAAATGATAGAGAATTTATCTAACATGTGCAAGGCCCTGAGCTCAGTCTCCAGCATTCTAAAGGAACATACATACACACACACACACACACACACACACACACACACACAAAAATCAGTGATTTTGTATGTGTCTCTTAAGATTGAACCCAGGGCTTTTATACATGCTTATTAGTAATATCATTAAGTTAAGCTGGCCTTAAACTCACCCTGTAGCCCAGGCTGGCCTTGAACTTACAGTCCAGTCCTTTGTGCAGTCTCCCAAGCAGCTGGAATTACAGGCCTGGGTGACTAGTCTGGCTTATATGGTGATTTTCCTCCATGTTATCACTTAAAACTCTTCTTTCTTCCTTTTACAATAGCTGAGTAGGTTCTGTTTGTGCAGATTTCCCATGATGTTAACAAGGCTCTCGATGGTTAAAGATGCATCGCATTCTGTCCCATAGAAAATGAATTATCCACATACATGTCATTTTCTGTCAGATAGATTCCTTTAATTAAAATTGTTATGTTGGGGTCTGGAGGATGGTCAGTGGTTGCTCTTCCTTCCAGAGGACCCACATGGTAGCTCATACCTGTCTCTAATTTTAGTTCCAGGGGATATGATGCCCTCTTCTGGTCTCTGCAGGCACCAGGCACACTAGTGATGCACACATGCAGGCACAACACCTATACACATAAAATAGAAGTTTTTAATCAAGGGTTGGGGATTTAGCTCAGTGGTAGAGCGCTTGCTAGGCCCTGGGTTCGATCCTCAGCTCAAAAAAAAAAAAAGTTTTTAATCAAAATCATTACATGGAAGAGGTTATCCACTGTGGCTCTAACCCATAATTCTAAGCTTTGTCTTCGTGGAGCTGTGCTGTCTGCCTGCATGAGCAACTTTCTTTCTCAGGTCATGAGCAGCAAATGCCTGTAACATGGGGTAGTTTCTGCATTGTGATTCCTCTGGATATAAAAGGGAGTTTATGGGGAATGTTCGCAGTGCTCATAGAAACTAACCCAGCCTCTGACCCTTGGAATTGCGGAGAGGTGTGCTGAGGATCTTCTTGTCACTCTTTCTCTCAGGCACTCCAAGAAGCCCATCGCGTCCTAAAGCCAGGAGGCCGGTTTCTCTGTCTGGAGTTTAGCCAAGTGAATGATCCTCTCGTATCCAGGTTAGCATTGATAACAGGGCTTTATAAACTTGTCTAGCAAAGGTTCCCCACCCCAAAATAGATAGAAAATGGCAGTAAGCTACTGGCATCTGTGGAGGCACCAAAGGGCAGGGCTTGTAGAGGTCAGTGAGTCCTTAGTGACAATGCTTAGGCCAGAAGAGCCTCAGCAGACGCCGGAGGCTGAGTTAGCCAGCCCACATGGTTTATTTTGTTTGACTCATGTGTCATTTTAAGAAATGTAATAGCCAGGTGTGGTGGCTCACACCTGTAATCCCAGCACTCAGGAGGCTGAGGCAGGAGGATCTCTTCAAGTTCAACACTTGGTATATATAATGAGTTCCAGGACAGGCTAGTCTACAGGATGAGGCTCTATCTCATACCCACCAGCCAGCCAAAAACTTAAAATCGGGAATTTTACCTAAGGACCTGGATTTCCAGCTTCATTGGGAAAATCAGATGCGTCACCAGCTTGGCAGACTCCTTCACGAAGGCTCTGTCATTTGCTGCAGCCTCTAGGCCTTGCTTTTGCTCTACTTGCCTGTCTCAGGCACTTGCTTGACCCTGTAGACATCTGAGTCAGTGACTCCTGGCTTACACGGTCCGACTTGCTATTAAGGGATGATCCAAGCACATTTTTGTAAAGTTTTTTTTTAAGACAGGGTCTCACTCTGTAGCCCTGGCTGTCCTGGAACTCTCTATGTAAACCAGGCTAGCCTCAGACTCACAGAGATCTGCTTGCCTCTGCCTCCCAAGTGCTGAGATTAAAGGCATGCACTACCATGCCTGGCTACAGGAAGCATTCTTAACCACTGAGCCATCTCTCCTAACCCTCCACTTTTCCTTATTTTATTGGTGAAGAGGCCAGGGAATGTGCCCAGAAATGCACACAAATCCTAATCTTTGCCTTTGTCCCTCTTTTTCTTTTTTTCAAGGCTTTATGATCTGTACAGTTTCCAGGTCATCCCTGTCATTGGTGAGGTCATTGCAGGAGACTGGAAGTCCTATCAATACCTTGTGGAAAGTATTCGGAAGTTCCCAAATCAGGTACAGGGCTTTTGTAACTTACAGCAAAGGCCCCAAGGCTGAAATCCAAGCATCCCATGTGCCTTTTCTTGTGTTTTAGGAAGAGTTCAAGGAGATGATTGAAGCTGCAGGCTTTCAGAAGGTGACCTACGAAAGCCTGACCACAGGGATCGTGGCCATTCATTCTGGCTTTAAACTTTAGCTCCTTTTCTGTGTGCAGCACGAAGTCATTTCTGCTGAGCCTGGAACTGGAAGATGGTCTCCCCGATGAGCCTGGCTGAGCATCTGTTTCCTCTTATGGCTGTCAAACCTTGGATTCATGATCTGCATTGATCTCTGAGTTCGAGGCCAGCCTGGTCTACAAAGTGAGTTCCAGGACAGCCAGGGCTACACAGAGAAACCCTGTCTTGAAAAACCAACCAAAGCAAGGCAACAACACAATCGTCGGGTATCTGAAAGGGCTGCAGATGTTGCTTTTTGGCCCAGCACACTAGGGGTCATTCATAGATTTCACAAGACCTCGGCTGTCACTGAACAGCTTTCAGACAGCCAACTACAGATGTTTCAGAACAGCAGTAAAGAGCATCCGAGAAAACGCTAAACCTTAAAAACTGCATTTTGTTTTTCAGCCAGCTGGATCCTACTGGCTTTTAAATTAACAGGCAGGAGCAGGCACTAAGAGATACTCCATAAACCATCCAACCAATTTCATTTCTATAGCAACATGTTTTCTCACATCTGAACCTGAAAATGAAAGTTGAAAGCCACCAGCCTCTTGACAGAAAACCGGGCCAGATCAAATTAGACCAGAACCCTCAATGTCCAGCCATGTTGTCTTGCATCAGCTCTAGGGACTGTTGCTGGAAACTGTCATCTGGTTGGATAAACTACGGCTTTGATGGCCAAATTCCTGGTGGGTTTCAAATAAAAATACAGCCAGGTCATAAAGAGGGAAAGGGACTCAATGTTTATGGAAACATTTCTACCTGTTCAAACAGATACAAATCTCAATTACCCTAACTGTAGTCTCTCTCCAAAATATGCCCTTTTCTGCAGATAGTAGGGAACACATACCAAATGTCACAAACACTAAAACAACCAGGAGGGATGTCGCACATCTGCAGCTCCAGGATTTGGCAGGTGAACAAGGAAGATTAGTTGGAGGTTATCATCAGCTATATAGCGAATTTGAGGCTGGCCTGGGCTTCATAAGACAGTTACAAAAACCAACAGGCCTGCAAGATGGATTATGGAATAGACTTGCTGTCAAGTCTGAGTCTCAGAACCCACGTGGTAGAAAACCTGCTGCCAGTTGTCCTCTATCCTGTACATGCATACTCACATGAACAATAAAGCAGTTTCACACTCCTCTGAACTGATAAAACAGTGTCTAACCAAATTCAGGTGTAGAGAAAAACTTTCCAAACTGTAACCGACCTGCTATTATCCATAAGTGTCAGTTCAAATGTGCAACTCTAGTCTTGTGAAGCAGCTTTTTGGCTGCTGAAAAATCTCAATTACATCTAAAGCAAAAAGCTTTTACCTCAGCCGGGCGGTGGTGGCGCACGCCTATAATCCCAGCACTCGGGAGGCAGAGCCAGGCGGATCTCTGTGAGTTCGAGGCCAGCCTGGGCTACCAAGTAAGTCCCAGGAAAGGCGCAAAGCTACACAGAGAAACCCTGTCTCGAAAAACCAAAAAAAAAAAAAAAAAAAAAAAAGCTTTTACCTCATGAAAATGTAAACAGGGAGCCCTGTTGGGATCTTGTACTTCCCAAAGGTCAGTGTGGGTTGGTTCTCAGCCTGTAAGGGGTTGCTTTTGGTGACCAGACCCACAGCTTTACGTGAAGCTTTGGTTCATTCACTGATTTCTGAGCACAGCCCAGGGAGTAAGTCCTGAGACACTGGGCCACTCTAATTCAGGCCCCCTGGAACCTAAGTGCTCCTGCCCAAGCCTCCTGAGTGCTGGGGTGATAGGGATGGGGCCTTAGACCTGTGGCTAATAGCCCAAATAATCTGGAGAAACCGATGTGGCCAGCTGAGCATTCCATCTCAAGGGCACTAAATGTCTAATCCCACAAAAGAAGAGTCCTCAACCCTATAGCCCTGGGGATTTGTCAACTGGTAAGCTGCTTCAACCCTATCTTACTTGAACAAACTAACACACACATACACATCTCCAACAGGTTTATTTTTAAAGGAATGGCCTAAGGGAGGAAAAAATGGGGTACAGAAGTATGGACTAGAAAATAAATACAAATGTAAGCTGTTTTACTAATTATTTTATAACCACAAACTCGTACAGAGGATGATGCCCTGTACAAAACACAACAGATTCAAACGAGGTGTTCCCTTAGCAAGGCTGAAGAGTCAGTCTCTGGTATTTGGAATTTAGGATGCAGTCCTTGTTTTTGGATGGATCACTGGGTGTTTGGCACAGTCCATGCTTTTAACCAGATTTGAACAGAAGAATGGCCACCTGACCCAGGTAGAAGTAGATGAAGTGTTTGGTTTCATGTGTCACATAACTACCGAAGTTCCGCCCCACAATGCAGTGCCAGGTGGGGTTGTACTTCTTGTCAAACTCCTGGGAAAGAATAAAACAAACAATTATAGTGGTACACCTGGAAAGTTAACTTTCTAGAAAGGCCAGAGCCTCAGGACCAGAGAGGGCAAACACAGGCATGTGCAACTGTTTTCACACTGGGGACTGAATCCAAGGCCTTGGGCGTGCTAGGCAAGCACTCCACCACTGAACTACTCACAACGCAGCAAATTCTTAGGATAAAAGAATGTTCCCTGACTAAGTCACCTACCTAGCACAGGACTGCAAACATGTTTGCAATCTGAGGTGAGATGGGAGCTGAGGAGATCAAAGGCAGATCGACATTTTCAAAGGCATTTCTTTCAGTGATTGCACCTGACTTCTTGGGGGAGGGGAGTTCTATTTTGGGTTTCTTGAGATGGGGCGTGTCCTGGAACTCCGTATGTAGACCAGTTTGGCCTGGATGTCAGAGAGATCTGCCTGCCTCTGCTGGGATTAAAGGCGTGCACCCTGACTTCATATAGTCAATGGAGCTAGATGACATCAGCGCTTGTGGTTTATCAGGTTGTTCCTAACTATCCTACCGTGCACCCCAAACCCAGGAAGACAGAATTGCCCCCCCTCAGAAAGACTAAAGGACAATGCCTCAATTATTATCTAAATCAAGCTGGACTGAAAAATAAAATGCTGGCAAAAGACTGACAGCTAGCTTAACGGCCAGACTTTATCCTTTAAAATTGCTCTCCTCTCCGAATCCACTACTTGGTCTTAAAGATTAGCATCTGCTCCCTGCTTCCTCCATCCCAGCGGGCAACTACAACTGGAAACGTTAATTTCCTCACTAGTTGGATCGAACCGGGGGCCAAAGAAGATGTACAATTCCTTAAGGCTCCTCCTATATTTCACCCTGCACGCAGCATGAACACCGTCTATTAAGCAGAATGTCTTTCCTCCAATCTAGACGCGCACACTGCTGCATTTGTCAAAAAAAAAAAAAAGGTATTCATTCTGTTCCATGGGAAGTCTTTCATCTTCCCATTCTCCACTGGAACCCTCCCACGGCTTCGTTTTCCCAGTTTCCTCTCCTTCCAGCACACACAGCTTGAGAAGTTGGCCGCCTTGCCAGCTTTCGACAAACTGCCATTTACCGAGCGAGCCTCCACCCGAGCCCCCAACCACCACTGCCACCCACTTTCCCTGAACTGCCGACTAACAACTCCCGGCTGGAACGCTGGCAAGAATCTCCTCCTAGCCCGGCTGGAAACACCCACGCAGCGCACCCCCCACCCCACCCCTCCCCAAACACCCAGATGGATCCTCGGCGCAGGAATCCTACAGTAGGGGGGAACTGCTCGCTGCTCCCTGATCTTGGAAACCGTTGCTAGGTGGCGCTTTCCCCCAAGGAGCCCGGGTTTAAAAAAATAAAAAAACAACTTCGGGCGTTGAGGGTCTGGTCTTCCCAAGAGGAACGCAACATCCATTCGCGCGTCCTTTCTAGAACTGTCTACACCGAGTCGCCCGGGGGGCCGCGGGAAAACTGCCGAGCGCCCGGGGACCGCGGGATCGCGGGGGGAGGAGAAGGAAGTACGCGGTGCCGGGTCCTCACCTTCTTGATATGGGCCGCAATATCCTTCTCTATGTTGTACTTCTCCAACGCCTGGGTCGCGCACTCCACCGAGTCCTGTTGCATCTCTTCCGACATGTCTGCATTTTTGATCACCGCCTTCCGGTCGCACATGGTCGCCTGTGGGACGAGGCGCAGGGAGAGCTAAGGAAGGGGCAGGGTGCGGGCCGCGCTGCCCTCCCGGGCCCGCCGGCCAGCCGTCCGTCCGTCCGGCCCGGGAGGACGACGCCCCCACCCGCTTCCCAGGCGCAGCTCCCGCGGCTCGCACCGCAGGCCCCGGTGCCCGGGCGGGGAGGACCCGAGCCCCGTCTCACCGTGAAGCAGGGGCCAGCCGGCTGCTGCGAGCTCCTAGGGAAGGTGCTGGCGCCGCTCAGGCAGCTGAGGAGAGCCGGTCGCTACCGAAGCCGTGGCGCATCTAAGGAGCCCCACGCCAGCCGCCGCCGCCTAATCCCGAGGCCCCGCCCTGCGGCCCGCGGCCCCGCCCCCGGCGCACGTCGCTATTGGCTGAGTGCGGCCAACAGCCGCTTCCTATTGGCCCAGGGATTCAATGGTTCCTTCAGGATCTTTCTCCTGCATTTTGTTGCAGACCACAATGCACCGCGCTCGGCGTCGGTTGCCCGGGCGATGCGCCGCACGCGTGCAGGCCCACACACCCTGAAGGCGGAGCCCGGGTGGGGAGGCTGGTTCCCGGACCACCCAGCTGCCTGGAAGGGGGCGAGGGCGGGCCTACCGGAGCCCACCGAGGTTAGCCCAGGGAATGTTCTAGTAGCCGCAGTTTCCAGAAGACGGGGAGTCGCCGCCCACTTCCACCCCCACCCGGGGTCAGCACACTTTTGACAAGTGGCCTCTGGCCTCGAAAGGTTCTGCAAAGCACGGGCGGGCCACCGATTCAGTTGCCCTAAGGGTCGTAGGGCTTGGTTTCAAGCTCTGCTGTCTCATTCCTGACCTTTGTGCGTGCGTGCATGCGTGTCTGAGGAGGCCTTGGGCGTGAGAGGCAAGTGCGATGACCCTGTTTTCGTTATTTTTGGTTTTTGTGTTCGTGTCCTCCCCACCTCACCCTAGCAGGGTCTCCCTAGGTAGCTCAGGCCGGCCTGAAATTCGCAGTTCTCCTGGCTTGGCCTCCCCGCGCTCCATCACCATCCAGGGTAAATTCCTAATTTTATAACCTGGCACTACATGTTTATTTCATACTGTAGTCCCTATGTAGCTGGTCCTGCCCTAGAAAACTGTATGCATGGTGGTAGCCTCAGGATTGAAGGAGAGTTTCGGCACAGGAATCATCCCCAGGAGGTCGAGTCTGTCTGCCAGGCAGTGCAGACTTCAGGAGTTTGAATGTGGGTGGGTGTAGGGTGTGTACAGGTGAGGCTTCCTGCTCAGGTAGGTTGTCCATTTGGGGGAAAATGGACAAAAAAAAGTGATCCTCAAAGGTGTCTTCTGTGGCATAGGTACATTGATGACTAGTGAGTGGTACCTAAATAAGTCACTTGATAAATAAATAAATAAGGTCCCTATAATAGGCTGATGGCAGAGCTCGTACCTAACATGCATCGTATCCTGAGTTTGATACCCAGTGCCTCAAAAACAAAACAAAACAAAAAGGTAGTCAAAAACAAGGTGGTAGGGAGCGGAGTTGAATCCCAGCACTGTTGGAACCTGGCTTGTTTCTTTCTATTTGTAGTGGGGGACTAAATATAAAAGGAAATCGCTTGGTAGGTGTGTGGGAGCACTAGATGTTCTTGCAGATTCTCAGCACAGTCACGGACGGCTTAGAGTGCTGAATGAATCCTACCAATCACTAGCGTGGAGCCATCAAACCTTCAATACCTGTGAATACATTTTTGAAACTCCATAAATGATTTTTGGGTTGTATAACTTCAAGTTTCCTGCTTACCTTTGTGCATTTGTACAGTGTCTGTCATGTGTGTAGCTCCGGGCCTCAAACCCCAAAGATCCACTTGACTCTGCCTCCAGAGTGCTGGGATTAAAGACAGTCGCCACCACACAGGGCTAACCTAGAACCCTTTTACACTAAATTACCCAGAGGCCCACCCCTCCCAAGAGAAAATGATGAGACTAACGAGGACTTCCTCGCTTACAGTGTAAGTGTATGTCTATCAGTCAAAGGCTTCTCCCAGCTCCCTCTTTGATCTTAGCTAAAAGGCCCACGAAGCCATTCCAGCTCCGTATTTCCAATGGCAGGACTGGGGACTTGAGGAATTAATATTGAGAAAGAAGTGGGTTTGTCAAATGAGACCGGTCGGTGTGTTTACTAGCTTTGGCCTCCCACTCAGAACCGTGGCATTACTGACAACCCCAGAATCTGAGCTGCTCGGCTGATACATTCATGTTTTTCTCTGATCTGTGGCTTGGTCTTGTTTACATCAAAGAGCTGAGTATCTAAAGCAAACAAAGTAGGACCGGAGGCGTAGGTGGTGGTAGTGTTTGCCTAGCGCATGAGCCCTCATCTTCAGTCTTGAGCACTGCAAAGTAAATAACAAAAATAACAGAGAACTGGGCTCTTGCTCAGGCGGCACAGCACTTGCTTAAGTGTGAGTGAGGCCAGAGGCCACATAATTGATCCCTAGCAGGCTAAGGGGAGGGAGTCAGGCACATGTAATCTCAGAGCACTTGGGAGATGGGGCCAGGAGGATCAGACATTCATGGCCAACTTTGGATGGATGGTTCCAAGGCCAGCCTGGGCTCCATGAGACTCTGTCTCAACTCTCCCTAGTCAAATAAAGAAGAGGAGGTAGGAATAGCAGCAGCAGTGAGTGGGTGCTGATCACCAAGTTCAGCACTTACAGTCACTGTCTTAGTACCCCTCATAACTGCTGTGTCTGAGACCCTTTTCCTTTCTCTCTCTTTAATGCTTATGGGTGTTTTGGTTGTTGGTGTATCTGTGCACCACATTTGTGCCTGATGCCCACCGAGGCTAGAAGAGGGCATTGGATCCCCTGGGTCTGAAATTCAGACACTTGTAAACTGCTGTGTGTGGGGGTGCTGAGAAGTGAACCTGGCTCCTCAGAACAACCAGTGCTCTTAACTGCTGATCCATCTTTCCAGCCCCAAGGAGACCCTCTTTATTTACCGACTTAGCAAAGCTATGTAGCCGAGGATGACTTTGAACTCCTGATCTTCCTGCTCCCACATCTCAAGTGCTGGGATTTCAGGCACGTGCCACCGCAGCCAGTTTTATGGGGTACAAGGAGTTGGACCCAGGGCCTGTGCATACCAGGCAACTGCTCTGCCAGCCGAGCCATTTTCCCAGCCCTGTCTCATTAGAGGACAGCTCCAGTGTGTCCTTCCCCTGAACTCCTCTGCTTGCCTCCATCACCACCGTGCTCGTAAGTCCGATAATGCTTAGATTTCCTCCATGATATCTGCCTCACGTATTCCTCCAGCGGGATTAGCTTGTGCATTGCCTTTCTGCTCAACGTCTACCTGTTGCTGCCTCTTCTGTCCCCGGTTCCACCTTCTGCATTCAAGTCACTGTCTGGGCTTAGGGGTGTAGTAGCTCAGTGGTGGAACCCTTACAGGTTTTCCTCGGTACTCAGTAAATATGACTGAAATTTTAAAACCACTAGGTCTTATGACCCCCCACTACACACACATATATGAGATCAGGAGATGTAAGAGGGGCAGCAAGATGGCTGCAAGTGAATGAGCTGGCTGTGCAAACTCACAGCCTGAATTTGATCTCTAAATGCGGGACAGGCGGGAAGAGAAAGCCAACTCCAGAATGTGGTCTTCTGACCTCTACAAGTGAGGCATGGTGTATGAGCACTACCCCCACACGCCAAAACAATACTTTTAGAAAATTTAGGAGCGGAAGGTATGAAATATGTTGACTTCCTTTTTTATTGTACTTTTCTTCTTGAGACAGGGTCTAACTGTGGAGCTCCCGGCCTTGAACTTACAGAGATCCTCCTGCCTCTGCATCCTGAGCGCTGAGATTAAAGGCATGCACCATCACACCCCACTTTTCTTTTTCTTTAAAGAAGGTCTTCTGAGCGGGCAGTAGTGGCGCACACCTTTAATCCCAGCACTCGGGAGGCAGAGGCAGGCTGATCTCTGTGAGTTCAAGGCTAGCCTGGTCTACAAAGTGAGCTCCAGGACAGCCAGAGCTGTTACACAGAGAAACCCTGTCTTGAAAGGAAATAAAAAAAGTCTTCTTAGTTAAGCTGTGGCTGGCCTGGAGCTGAAGTCCTCCTGCCTTGCCTTCTAAATGCTGGACTATAGGCCAAGGCCACCATGTGTGGCTTGGAAAATCTATTTTCTTTTGTGTGTGGCCAAACTTACTCCTTTGAGATCGGGTCTCTCACTGAACCTGGGGCTCATTTTTTTTTTCAGCTGTGCTGGAAGCCAGAAATGCCCTGCATCCTTCCTGTCTCTGTCCTACTCATTTTTAGGGTTATAGGCATGTAGGACCATACATGGCTTTACATGTGACTGCTGATTCAGATTCTGCTCCCCATGTTTTCGCAGCAAGCTCTCTTAACCAATGAGCCATATCCCTAACCCAGCTCCTTCTTTTTTGAGACTGGGTCTCAACCCAGGCTAACCTCAAACTTGCTATGTATCAAAGATTGTCTTGAATTTTTGATCCTCCTGCCCCTGTCTTCCAAGCGCTGGGATTACAAGCATGTATCACTATGCCCACTCTATCCAGTGCTGGTAATCCTGGTGCATGCTAGGCAAACACTCCACTGACTAAGGGACATCCCTGCCCCAGTACCATCTTTTTAAGAAAGATGTGTACATGTGTTCGTGTCTGTGTGTACAAGTGGACACGGAGGCCGGAAGAGGGTATCAGACCCTGGAGCCGGGGTAATGGGCTGTTATTAGCCACCCAGTGCAGATGCTAAGAACTGAACCGGTCCTCTGCAAGAACAGGAGGAGGAGGAGGTAATGTTGCTTTCTCAGAATGCTGGCCCATCACTAATTCTAATGATTTCAAAGAGAGATCAGTGATCTGGATCATTTCCACAGGAAAGAGCTCCATTTATAAATGTTGTTTACAATTATTTAAGCACTGAATAGTACAGCATGTGAGTCTCCAATCCATAACCTCTTTTGGAGTTTGACACCAAATCCAGGGCTTATCCTTAGGTACCAGGAGATTCATACTTTCCTGGGAGCAAATGGACTATACTACCTGGCACACGATGTTTACTGAATGAATCCTGAATGAACGAATGGCCACACCAATAGCCACATGAAGATGGAATCTCAGACAGGTTTTTAAAAACTCAAATTTATTTTTACTTTACTTGCTTTGGTGTTTTGCCTGCATGTATGTCTGTGTGAGGGTGTCAGATCTTGGCGTTACCGACAGCTGTGAGCTGCCATGTGGGTGCTGGGAATTGAACCTAGGACTTCTGGAAGAGCAGTCAGTGCTCTTAACTGCTGAGCCATCTCTCCAGCCCCCTGGTATAGGTTTTTCATTGTCATTTTCTTCTTGTTTTCTTTTCGAGACAGAGTCTCATGTAGCTCAGTCTGGCCTCACACTTCCTATAAATAGCTAGGATGGCCTTGAACTCCTGATTTTCCTGCTTCTACCTTTCAAGTGTTAATGGAAGTGCTTACACCACCATGTTGGTTCTGGTACAGTTTCCATTGGCATCAAGAGGGGCTCCACAGGGAAAAAGGAGAAAGCAGAGGCTCAAAAGGCTTCTGCTCTGGGTTATTCGAGCCATCTTGTCAGACTGAGACAGACCCGGATCCCCTGGAACTGCTGGGGGTGCTAGAGTAACCCCCCAGAGCCCACCACACAGAGCTCCTAAATCACTCTCAGGATGTGCTTTGTATAACCACTACCTTTATTATTATTTGTGATTCTTTTATTCAGTTTTTATTTTTATATGTGTGTCTGTTTGTATGTGCACGTATGTGGGTGCTCAAAGAATCCAGAAGAGGGAGTCGGAACATCTGGGGCTGGAATTATAGGCATTTGTCAGCTGCCTAATATGGGTGCTGGGAACAGAACCCAGGTCCTCTGCCAAAGCAGCAGGTAGGTGCTCTAGTTGCTGGGCAACCTCTCTAGTCTCATTTGTGATTTATTTATTTACTTACTTATTATTTATTTATTGTGGTTTTCTGAGACAGGGTTTCTCTGTGTGGCAGCCTTGGCTGTCCTGGATCTCACTTTGTAGACCTGGTCTCAAACTCACAGAGATCTGCCCGCCTCTGCCTTCCGAGTGCTGGGACTAAAGGCGAGTGACACCTCTTTGTGATTATGTCGTCTGATTGGACAGAGGAAGGCATGGGACATTAGTAAAGGACAACTCCGCGTGTGTGAAGGTGTGCCCAGAGAAGATGAACCCCAAGGACAGAACCCACTCCATATGGTTGCTCCACTGCACAGGCCTCAGTGGAATTTAAAAGGGGGAGACGGGGCTGGGGATGTACCTTTTTTAGGTGGAACCTGCCTATCATGTGAAAGGCCTTGGGTTAACCCCAGTTAAGAGAAAAGAAAGAAAACAAGAAGGCAGGCAGCACCGACAGCGAGCCCCTGCTGCCAGGCACTGTGACGTGGACAGCCAGCCCCGTCTGCCCAGCTTTCCCGGCCACGCTGGACTGATCGGAACTCACGAGTCAAAAGCCTTTCCATCTGTGCTCGGTGTGCACAGCTATAATCCCAGCACCAGAGAGCCCGAGGCAGAAGGATTCCCTAAAATTTGGAGCTAGCCAGAGCTACATAGCAAGACCCTGTCTCCAAAAGGAGGCGGTGGGTGGCTTGAGAGAGAGCCAGCTCGGCAGGGAAAAGTGCCTGCCACCAGCCTGGTGACCCGAGTTCGAGTCCTGGAACCTAAATTGCAGAAGCTGACTCCAGTTGTTCTCTGACGTCCATACATGATCTGTGTAACCCCTTCCTCCCATAAAAATAATTTTCTTTTTTTAAATACTGTCTCACTATGTAGCCTGGGATAGTAATTTAACAGTCACTATTTTCTTCTAAGCTCTCTTTATATTTTAAGAAGTTTATTTTAATTTTTTTTAAGTCAGGGTCTTATGTAGCCGAGGCTGGCCACAAACTTGTGTTTAGGTGCTAGGCTCATAGGCAGCTGCCATGCTCAGTTCATGTGCTGCCGGGAATTGAACTCAGTGCTTCACGCATGTTGGATGAGCATTCTACCAATTCACTATATCCCCAACCCCAAATTATTTCAGTTATCTACTTTTAATTTGTGTATTTCCTTTGTTTGTTTGTTTCTCGAGACAGGATCTCTCTGTGTAACTGCTGTGGCTGTCCTGGAACTCGCTCTGTAGACCAGGCTGGCCTCTAACTCAAGGAGATCCGCCTGCCTCTGCCTCCCGAGAGCTGGGATTAATGGCGTGTGTAAGCACCGCCTGGTAATAATTACATTTGTGTGTGTGTGTGTGTGTGTGTGTGTGTGTGTGTGTGTGTGTGTGTGTGTGTGTGCATGGTTGCTGTAATGTGCATCGAAGTCAGAGAACTGCTTTCAGGGGTCAGGCGGTTCTCTCCTTCCACCACGTAGGTCTCGGATGGAACTCCGGTCATGAGACTTGGCGGCAGGCACCTTTACCCACCGAACCATCTCGCCCGCTCTGTTTTGTCGGTGAGAATTTTCAAACCAGGGTATTGGAATGCTGAGTGAATATTCTGCCACTAATCTATCTTCTCAACTCAGTAAATGTATCTTTATTTTTTTTTAAATTTAGTTAAGTATGATGGCACACAGCTTTAATCCTGGAACTGGGGAGGCAGAGACTGGCAGATTTCTGTGATTTCAAGGCTAGCCTGTTCTACATAGTGAGTTCCAGGAGATGCAGGGCTATGTAGAGAGACCCTGTTTCAAAAAAAGAAAAAAAAATATTTTGAGAAGTGTTAGTTCAGGTGGGCCTTTAGCTCAAAATTCTCCTCCCTCCCCCAGTGCTGGGTTCAGATCCCCCAGCACCTTCATAAAAGCCAGGCACAAATAAATCTAACACTGGGGAGACAGAGCTGTGTGGATCCTGGAGCCTGTTGACCAGCTAACCTAGTAAAATCGATAAGCTCCAAGTTTAGTGAGAAATCCTGTTTCTAAATAAAGTGGAGAATGGCCAGGGATTTAGCTCAGTAGTAGAACACTTGCCTAGCAAGTGCAAGGCCCTGGGTTTGATCCTCAGCTTCAGAAAAATTAAGTTGAAGTAGCAAAAAAAGTCAACTCCTGCCTGGCATGGTGGTGCACGCCTTTAATCCCAGCACGCAGGAGGCAGAAGCAGATGGATCTCTGAGTTCGAGGCCAGCCTGGTCTACAGAGTGAGTTCCAGGACAACCAGGACTACACAGTGAAACCCTGTCTCAAAAACAAAACAAAACAAAACAAACAACAACAACAAAAACTCCTGCAAACTCTGACCCCCACAAATACATGCACACACAGTAAGAAAAAAAAGGGTGCCCCCCCCCTTTTGAGACAGGGTCTCACTATGCACCTCTGGCTGTTCTGAACTCACTATGTAGACCAGGCTGGCCTTGAACTCACAAAGATCTGCCTGTCTCTGCCACCTCGTTGCTGGGACTAAAGGTATGCAGCACTGACTGTCTAGGAAACAGGTCTTACAGCCAGGTTTGGTGACTGCATGACTGAAACCTCAGCACTGAAGAGCTGGAGACAGGAGGATCAGGAGTTCAAAGTCAGCCTGTGCTGTGTGAAACCTTGGCTCAAACAACATAAAAATCACTTCACACGATGTGGACTGAGTCTGAATGTTACTATTACAGATCTCACCCTGTCCCCATGCACAGGCCACAGAGCAGGCAGGCTGCTCTAGGTGCATTTCTGTTGCTGTGATAAAGTAACCAGTTATCAGGAAAGGGTTTATTCATTGTATGATTCCAGGGAAGTCAAGTCAGATCACAGAGGTGTGCGCATGCTTGCTTGGGCGACTGTTCAGCTTGATTCTTCCACTCGCAGCTTAGGACCCCTGCGTAGGGGATGGTGTTGCCCAGAATAGGCTGGGCCTTCTCACTTCAGTGAAGACAATGCCCACAGATCCCATTAACTTCAGTACTGGCTATGGGAGGAACCTGTAGTCTACGGGAGGAGCCTGGGGGCCAGATGACTTAATGGGTGACCTCAGTATTACTCTCTAATTATATGCAAAGTGCTCCTCAGTCAACCTAATTATTCTAGGACTCTAAACAAAGGAATAGGTACTTGGAATCTGATTCTGGCATCTCCATTCTGATTCAGTGAGAGAAAATCTGACTCTAGAATTTAATAGTTCCTAAGACCTTCAATCAGGATGACTGGGAGTTGTCTAAAGAGAACTTGGCACCAGGCACTCTTCTCTGGGCTGCAGAAATGCAAGAGAACTGCTGGACACGGTGGCTTGTCCTTCATCACAGCACCTGGCAAGCTAAGGCAGGAAGATTAAGCATAAATCTGAGGTAAGCTTGGGCTACAGAGGAAGACCCTTAAGACAAGAAAAGGGAAAGAAATCTAAGGCTAGAGCGCATTAACATTGCAGAGAACATGTGTGAGGCCCTAGGAAGCAAGAATCTGTGTCCTCCAACTTGTATTCTAGCAGAAGAACATAGAATACACACACACACACACACACACACACACACACACACACACACACACACACACACACACACACACATACACACATACAGACTCAGGGCTGGAGAGATGGCTCAGGGCTTAAGAGTGCATACTCCTCTTGCAGAGGATCTGAGAGCCATTCCTAGCTTTCAGGGGACTTGAGGCAGCTGCCTGTATCTCCAGCTCCAGGGGATCTGATGCCCTCTTGGAACTTCTGCAGCAGGCATCTGTACATGACATACCCCCCACAACCCAAACACATACATATATAATTTAAAAAACCCTTTTGATAAACAGACGAGTAAATATAATGAATAAAAATAAAGTAGAAAAAAAGTGAAAACTCACTGTGAGGGCATGCTTGTAATTCTAGCACTTAAGTGGAGGCAGATCAGGGTCACAGCTTTTGGGGCCAGCCTGAGCTAAGTGACACCTTGTCTCAAACAAAACGAGGTGATGGTGACTTACTTGGACCAGGGCATCAGTGACAGGTGGGATGAGAGGAGATTCTGGCTGTACTTGAGGGTGGAGCTGACTTGCTGATAAGCTGTAGTGTGTGCCTACCATAAGAGAAACAGAGACCTCAGAGATGACTCCAGCTGGGCATGTGGGTCATACCTGTAGTCCCAGCTGCTGCTGCTAATGAGACAACATGGGATCACTTGTGCCCATGATGAGTTTGAGACTAGCCTGGGTAACACAGTGAGACCCTAAATAAAAGAAATAAAAAGATAGCTTCGGCTATGCGGCCTGGACAATAAGAAGCCGAGACGAGGAAGCAAGTTCTGCTTCACCACGTGCAGTTGGAGACGCTTCTTAGAGTTCCCCGTGAAGTGTCAAGTGTGCAGTTGGACGTGTGAGCTCTGGGAAGATGTCCAGGCCAGAGCTATAATCCGGGGAGTCACCAGCTTATCGCAGACATTTAAACCATGGGCCTGGATGAGATCACCAAGGGAGGAGTTCGCAGACGGAGGCGGCGCTGACTCAACCCACAGTATTCTGTTATCTCAGACACGGCCCGAGCAAGTGCAGGATACAGCTCAACTTCACTTGGTACCTGTCCAAAAGAAACTCCATTTCTTCCTGATTCGTTTCCCCTGCCTGAGTGCCGACCTTATTTAGATGATGGGCCTCCAGAGTGCACCCCACCACGCAGTCCTAATGATCCTTTACTTTTCGGTGGTGGTGCTGGAAACTGAACTCCAGGCTCATGCATGGCAGGCAAGTGTTGAACCACTGGGCTTTATTCTCAGCCCTGCACGCTTTATTTTTTGTTAAGATATGGTCCCAAGTAATGCAAACTGGCCTGAACTCTGCGAATCCTCTATGTAGCTGACACTGGCCTTTAACTCTTTAATTTTTATTGTTTATTTTATTTATTTACTTTGTTTTGTTTTTTGAGACAGGGTTTCTCCATGTAGTTTTAGTGCCTTTCCTGGATCTTGCTCTATTGACCAGGCTGGCCTCGAACTCACAGAGATCCGCCTGCCTCTGCCTCCTGAGTGCTGAGATTAAAGGTGTGTGCCACCGCTGCCCAGCTCTTTTGTTTTTTGTTTTTAATTATTTTTATTTTATGTGCATTGGTGTTTTGTCTGCATGTATATCTGTGTGAGGGTGTCAGATCCTCCAGGACTGGAGTTACAGGCAGGTGTGGTAGTGGGAATTGAACCCAGGTCCTCTGGAAGAACAGCCAGTGCTCTAAACTACTGGGCCATCTCTTCAGCGCCGCCCCCCCCCCCACTTTTTTTTGAGACTGAGTTTCACTAGGTAGCTCTGGCTGGTCTGGAACTATGTGAAAAAGGGTGGCCTCAAACTCACAGAGATCCTCCTGCCTCTGCCTCCTGAACACACCCACTTTTTTAAAAAAAAGAAGTGTTATGATTTGTGTGTGTGTGTGCGCGCGCGCGTGCACGCGCACGCACATGCATGGCACATGTACACAGCATATATGTGTGACAGTGCATGTCAAGAGCTTAGATAGCGTGGGTGAGCTGATTCTCTCTCTCTACCACATGGAACCTGGGGATGAAACTCAAGTCATCAGGCCTGATAGCAAGCACCTTTACAGCTGAGCCATCTCATCAGCCACGGCCTCTAACCCTTTATCTTCCCGCCTCCACCTCCTAACTGCTGCATGGGACACCACGCCCAGCTTTATTCTTTACAACATCTCGGGATAAGCTTCCCACCTAGGCATCCAGAACGAGAAAGAACAAGACCGAACAGTCCCTTCCGTAGGGAGGGAGCAGCAACTGGCCACGGGTGTGCACAGGATGTGGTTGTCACTGGCAGAGGCAATGGAGAGGACAGGCTAGTGTGAAAGCCAACAGCGAGGGTTCTGCTCCACCCTGGGAGGCAAGGAAGGCTGCTCTAGGAAGTCTCTCTCTCTCGAGGAGCAATGGGAGCAAGGAAGCAGGCTGGGGGAGTACAGGAACCTTCTGGATGGAACGGCATACCCAAAGGCCTGAAGGTGAAAGGTGATAGCTGAATAAGGCACAGTAACTCCCTGTGTGTGTGTGTGTGTGTGTGTGTGTGTGTGTGCGCGCGCGTGCACTGTTGAGAGAGATGAGGACAGAGGCTGACATCAGTGAGACTTGGGGTCTTGTGAGTCTGAATAAGATATGTGGCCTCCATCTTCAACTACCCATGGTTCTAAGAGGCCACAGCGAGTGGTTCAGAAGAGGAGAGTGGGCCATTAGAGTCCAAGAGGGCAGCTGGTACGCCATGGAGGTTCTGGTCTCATTCTCTCAGTTCCTCTACTGTATTTATTTTTACTCAATTTTTTAAAACAGTCTTGCTGTCTGGCCCAGGCTCCCCGATATTGGGTAGCAATTAGCTCTTTAAGACACAGGGTGTTCACCAGGCGGTGGTTGCGCACGCCTTTAATCCTTTAATCCCAGCACTCGGGAGGCAGAGCCAAGAGGATCTCTGTGATTTCGAGGCCAGCCTGGTCTACAGAACGAGACCCAGGACAGGCACCAAAACTACACAGAGAAACCCTGTCTCAAAAAAACAAAACAAAACAAAACAAAAAGACACAGGATGTTCTAATGGGAGGTGGAACACTCCATCCAACAGGGAACTCCTTAAACTCAGCAAGTACCAACTCAGAGCTTCAGCAAGTCCTTGAAACTGACCAGACTCACTGGGCCCCTCCCTCCCAAGCATAAGGAAGCTGTGAGAACTGAAAGACTGCTCTCAGAAGAGCTGAGCTGTGTAGAGCAAGC